CAGCACAGAGGGCTAGGGCTAGGGCTTCAATGTGAATTTGGAGGAGACAGAGACATTCAATCCATAATGGGAAGAAAACACTGTTCAGGGAAAAAAGGGGTTCAGTGGCCACAAAAAGGGGGCAGACAAAACCTCAGATGCTCTCCCCATTTCCCCTGATACACAACACACACACAAACACACACACAGGGCCCTGCCTCCGCCTCTCTCCCACAAGGCCACTCCCCACCCCGTGATTATTTACATCCCTCCTATTCTGCCCTCTGGAGCTGCCCCCTCCCCTGCGTTGTCCTGTGGCCCACTGAATGCTAGGTGCAGGTAGGTGCCTGTAACTGTAGCCTGGGGCTGGGGCCTCCTGGACCACGTGTGTCCTGAGCCCCAGCATGGGACTAGGCAGGAAGTGGGTCTCACTTGTATCTATTGTTCTCAGGCAGAGCCTCACCCTAGGACATGAGTTGGTGCCAAAGGTTTGTTGGATTCACCGCAGGCCCCCTTTCCCCACATTCACTGATAAGGTTCCCAGGGCCTTGATACCTCTGTCCTTGGAAGAAAAGAGTGTGATTACCCAGCTCACACAAACCTGCTGGTGGCTTCCCACAATAGGAGGACATAGTTTTCTAGTTCAAAAGCATCTACAAAGTGACTAGCACAGAATGAAGAAAGACACAAGGCACATCACTGGGAAATTCCAGAAAACCAAGGATAAAGAGAAAATCCTAGAATCTTCCAGAGAGAAAAGACAGGTCGTATATAAAGAGCCAAGACTCAGCATGACACTGACTTCTTCCCAACAACACAGGAAGCTAGAAAATAATGGAGCAATATTTCCCAATGTGAGGAGAAGTTACGTTTGCATGAGAGCATTATTTCCTGCCAAACTATTGATCAGGAGTTGGGGTAGAAGAGTGGCGTTTTAAAATAAGTGGAGTCAGAAAGCTTTCACTCTTTCTCAGGAAGCCACTGGAAGATGTGCTGCAACACAATGAGAGTAAACCAGGGCAAAAGAGGATCTGGGGGGCTGGGTGTGGTGGCTCACGCCTGTAATCCAAGCACTTTGGAGGCCAAGGCAGGCGGATCACCTGAGGTTGGGAGTTCAAGACCAGCCTGACCAACATGGTGAAACCCCGTCTTTAAAAAAAAAGAAGATCTGGGGCCAGGAAACAGGAGACGCACACAGAAAAGACAGCAGCAGAAAATTCACACGGTGGTGCAGAGATGCCAGGATGCCGGCTGAGAGAGTTGAAAAACTTTTTTTTTTTTTGCAGACTAAAGCTTTATGTGAAATTCTGTAAATGTGTATAGAGCTGCGTGTGGCCCCCTGTGCCGGAGGCCTTGTCTGTGGTGATGTGGAGGCTCAGCACTTGCTGTAGATGGCCATGCTGCCCCGCTCCTGAATCTCTTCTTGCTGACCCAGAGCTGTTGGAAGGCCTGCAGGGAGGCCAGGATGGAGCCGCTGGTCCACACAGAGATCTTCCTCTCGGGACTGGCAGCCACCGCAGGGCTGTCCCCGGTGCAGAGGAGGCTCAGCTCCCTCTGGAAGTGCTTGGGGAAGCCATACAGCATGGTGCAGCCGCCACACAGCAGCACATTGGCGACCATCGCCTCCTTGAAGCCCGTGTCCTGGCAGTGGCCCAGGCAGGTGGCCGTGAGCTCCGGGAGGCCAGGCTGGGTGCTGCCTGCCAGGGAGGGCTTGAAGAGCATCTCAGAGCAGCAGAAACGCTCCTGGCCGATTCATGAGCTTGCCGTCTGGGAGCTCATAGTCCACGAGCAGCTCCTCTGGGACCAGGGCCAGCTCCTGCTCAGGCAGCAAGGCCTCATAGCAGCACTTCTTGATGTGCTCTATGATGTGCAGGTGGTCATCCGTGAAAGCATGGCCCGCCTCGTTGAGCAGCTGCATCAGGTAGTTGGTGAGGTCACCCCCAGTGTAGTCAGCGCGGCTGGTCAGGCCTGGCAGCATGTGCGAGACGCCGTGCCTGCTCTCCACCACGAGCCCCGAGGTCTTGCTGGTCGAGTAGATGGACAGCAGCGACTGGGACGTCGCGTGCATGGCAGGGATGCCGAAGGCCTTCAACATGAGCTCAGTGTACTTCTACGGTTTCTGCTGGGGCTGAGGGGATGGTCCAAGACCAGCACAGCGTGCTCCTCGGGGATGATCTTTGTGACTGTGTCCTGCATGCAGTCCCAGTCCACCACGACACCGTGCTTCAGCGGGTTCACCAGCTTGAGAGGCACCTCTGTGCTCAGCAGCTCATGGCCCACCAAGGTCTCCTTGCGGGTGTCACTGGCGTCGGCCGCCTCGGGGACCTCATCCTTCAGGAAGTGTCTAATTATCACCCAGAGAGGGTTCATCAGGGCAAAGTCTGGATGGCTCCTTCATAGACTGTGTGATGTCCTTTTAGTTGCTTCCTCTTGACAACTGAATATTATACCAGATGAACATTTCGAATTCAACTTGCATGGTTTGTGAGAACCCAGTCATTGTACTGTTTTTAATTGTTCACATTTTTACAAATAGGGAGAGTCATTCATATTTGTCTTTGAACTAAAAACAAAAGGTCTAATGTCAGATTAGGAATTCACTTTGTGTTTACCATTTAGATGCTGAAATTGCTTTTAAGGATTTTTATTTTTAAAATTGGCTTGTTTTTTGATTCATCATGTCTTTCTATTCAGATTATTGGGTATCAAAGATTAATGAGAGGACACCACACTCCTGGTTAAATAGACAAGTGATATCATTACTTAATAAAATCTATACCTGCCATCATTAAAAAAAACTTGCCTTTTTTTTAGTAAACAGAGAATATTATCAAATAATTTACTTTGGCTTTATTGAAAAGAGAGTATCTGATCTTAAATGTGCCACCATAGATGTTAGATTCTCCTATCTGCAGTTGTCTTTATCCTATTTTGTGAGTGTTTTTTTTCCTTATAATTTACTTTGTGGTCTGTTTCTACACTTTTATCCTGTTTTTTAATCCTGTATATTCACCAGGAAATAATGATTTTATTCTTAACATTTTGTCTTTTGGTGGTAAAAATCAATACTGTGTTCATGGTACATTTTTTCATTCTGCATTTGCTTATAACTGTCGACTTATAACTCTACTACATATGTGTATATACTTAGAAATTTTAACACATTTTAATATCAGTTTTTAGAAGGTCTGACTAGTCTAGCAAATTGTCAGTCCAACATCATTACTTTAAGAAGCAGTCTTATTCTGGTAGACCCTGTTGGTACTTCTAAAATAATTTTGAAGGTCTTAAATTCTTCCTTTGTAAAGTTTTAAAGTTTTTAGGTTGGCCTGGAAGCAGAAGTTGGTGATTACTTGATTTAGAATAGATTTTTTTCCAGATCATACAAAAGGCCATACAGTAAGTGCAGAAGTAGGAGGGGGAGGGCTTACTAATATCAACCAGGCAAGGCCTCAGTGAGTGGGCAGGATACCCCCTGAGAATGGCCAGACTGGGGGAGATTACTCTGCTCTGGATGCTCTCATTTGCAAATTGACAAGGATACAGTAGATTATTTTGAAACATTTTTTTAAGAAACAGAATTCTTTAATAATTCCTTCCTAGACATTGAATATTGAATATACTTAAACAATTAAAGGCTTGGGGAAGGAGACACTGAGAGACCTTCCAGTTTGGTCCCTCATGAGCAGAAGAGACAGTTTGATAACTACTGAAATAGAATATCCCTAGTTTTAAAATACTGAGAATCTCCGAAGTTCATCAGCATCTTAAGATGTACTTACTTGAAAGTTTGAGATTCTGTTTATCATTTGAAAATACATTTTGCTTCAATTCTTTCTTTGGCATGTTGTTTTTTTATATCAAGAAATACATGGTGTGAACAAAATAGCCTTTTGACCCTGATCTTGCTGGATGAATTAGCTCTGAAACGCCCTCTGCAACAAGTAACGTATTTGTCCCATGTTTTGTTCTGATGGAGAATTATGAACACCATAGTACCAAACAAAAATTCGAGGGGTTAGATAATGTCTAGATTAAATAATTTAAGACTCTGGGATTTTGGTTGTCATTTTTTAATTTAGAACTGACTTCAAATCACTTTCTTTCTTTTTTTTTTTTTGAGACGGAGTTTCGCTCTTGTTACCCAGGCTGGAGTGCAATGGCGCGATCTCGGCTCATCCCAACCTCTGCCTTCTGGGTTCAGGCAATTCTCCTGCCTCAGCCTCCTGAGTAGCTGGGATTACAGGCACGCACCACCGTGCCCAGCTAATTTTTTGTATTTTTAGTAGAGACGGGGTTTCACCGTGTTGACCAGGATGGTCTCGATCTCTTGACCTCGTGATCCACCCACCTCAGCCTCCCAAAGTGCTGGGATTACAGGCTTGAGCCACCGCGCCCGGCCTCAAATCACTTTCTATTGCCTCATAGGTCACATTTGAGACAGGTTTGTGTCTGTTCCTTGCATCTAAATTCCTGTTGGTAAAAACATCTTTGAGGTCTCTTGCTTAGTTGTCTTCATTCATTATCTTGGTTTATCACCCCTCTCTCCTTTTTTCCCCTGACTATTAAGCAGTTTCATCTTTGCTTTATTTAAATATTTATTTTGAGAGCAGCTAGTTTGTGTTAAGCTCTGGAAACTTGTGATTGTATTTTCTGTGTAGATGTATATGTAATTATTTTTATTTTTCAATCATAGATTCAAGCTTCCTTTTTATTTACCATAAATCACTAAAGTTACTTATGTTTTCATGTATCTGTGTCTTGTATAAAATTGGCTTATTCTGTGCTATTGAAGAATGAGGCTCAACATGACTTGTGAGGAAATTTGTCAACTAACAAATGGTTATCTTTTTGAACATAGCACTTTTAATTTTGAATAAAAATATTTGACATGTACTAGAGACTTTATTACATTAAATTATTCCAAATACAATATAACTTTGATAGTTTGGAATCATCATTAAGAACATCAGTTACACAGTGATTCTTTTGTGGCTCTATACAAGTGAGAAGTTGGTAGCTTTTTTTTTTCCCAGCTGAGGATTTATTGGAGTAAATGCAACCATATAAAAACATAAGTTATGAAAAACACAGTCACGATGTGCCCTCCCCATCCCCCCAGCCCAGGCTCCTAAAACCCTCTTCTTCGGGAGGGAGAGAAAAAGGGAGCCCCAAAACCGCCTAGGAACGGTCAGCCCCTGGGCTGGTGTAGGGCGGGGAGAGCCAGGCCTCAGCGCATCCAGTAGTCAGTGGAGCAGGACAGCTCACACAGCTGGCCCTTGAAGTCCAAGTCGATGGTGAAGTCCAGGGCCCGATGGTTCTTGGCGTTGGGCCACATGCCGATGGTGCCGAAGATCTCCTCACCTATTTTCATGGTCAGGTAGTCCTCCATGTAGAACACCGTCTGCTTCCAGTGCGTGTACGGGGATTCCGGGCTGGTGGAGAAGCCGGTCCTCTTGTGGCAGTTTGTGAACTCGATGTTGAAGTAGGCCACCAGGGAATGCACGGAGTCATTCCGCTTCACTTGCAGGCAGAACGCTGAAGTGAAGGTTGGTGACCAGCTGTTTTGGGTCCACCATGTCCACTAAGGGCTGCTTGATGGCCACATCTTTGATGCAAGACATGTCGAAGCCATACACATTCTCCCACCAGTGGATCTTGTAGTCTTTGTACTGCCGGTCCTCTATGGCCATCACGTACAGCGTAGCTCGGTCTGGGAAGATGAGGTCATCGGGCGCCAGCCACTTGTCTTGGGCATAGAGCATGGTGTTGAGCATGGACTTGTAAAAGAGGCAATAGCCCATCCACTCACTGATGATGATGTCCACCTTCTCCACCGGGAGCTCCACCTCCTCCACCTTCCCCTTGATGATAGTCACCACGTGGTCTAACTTGTTAGCTTTGATGATCTTCACTGCATAATCAGAGATATTAGAACACTCGATCCTGATGACCTTTCGGGCCCCAGCCTTGGCAGCGAACATGCAGAGGATACCAGTGCCTGAGCCCACGTCTAGCACCACTTTGTCCTTGAAGAGGTGCCGATTGTGAAACATGGAGTTGAGGTAGGTGAGGGTGCGCATATCCTTCCTCCTTGACTCACGTCACTGTCCTGGAGGCCGTGGTGTGCTTCTTCTCTGTCTGGTCCATCATTGGCCTCTCAGGATTCTACACCTGCTTGATCAGCTCCAACCAGACGACAAATGAGGACGTTAAAGGATCCTGGTCAAATAAAAGAGGTAAAGAAAACTACAATCCCTACAGTTATGGAAACAGCTTCACCAATTGCTGTGTTGCTCTGTGTGGGCCAATCTCGCCAAGCCTGATTGACAGAAGAGGGTACATCCAGCCGCAGCCAGCAACACCCTCCAACGGCATCACCATATATGGGCCATGCAGTCACAGAGCGACATGTGCGACCAAGACCAGTGCTTTCAGAGCACCAAATTTGTTTGCAGGCCACGGCCATGCTCCTGCTGCAGAGCGAGCCTAGCCTCACCAGCGACGAGCTGCACCTGCCCGGGAAGCCCAGCCTGGGCACGCCCTGCCCCAGCCTCACTCTGGGCCTGCCCACACCGCCCGCCTCCATGCTCAACCTAGCTGCGTCCGCCCTCGCAGACGTGATGCCCCGGAAAGACGAGCACATGGGCCACCAGTTCCTGACGCCCGATGAGGCGCCCTCGCCCCCCAGACTGCTGGCGGCAGGCAGCCCCCTGGTGCACAGCCGCACCGTGCACGTGCTGGGCCTGGCCAACCAGGACCCCCTGCACAAAGACTCCATGCGCGGCCTGGTGTGAAGCTCAGCTCTGTGTGACCCACGTGGCCCTGGGCCGGAGGGCACCAGAGGCTCCTCCACGAGCAGCAGGAGTGAGCAGAGGGTTGTGCCCCACAGCGACTTTCCCAGCCACTGCCACGGTGGAGATGATGGCCCCAGGTCTGGGATACAGAGACCACTTAGAATGGCACAGGGCGGCTGGCCCCGGATGCTGAGAGCCTGGTTTCATTTGAACTTGCTTCCCCAAACCTGAGTGCTTTGACAACAATGAAAATAGAGAAGTGGCTGCTTTCTTATGATGGGCCTTCGGATGGGGACCCTCCAGGGCGGGGAATTGGAGTACATCTGCCGCCCTTGGGACAGACACATGGAAGGCTTCTGATGCTTATGGCCTGAGTGCAATTGCACTTACGTGTGATGCTACTAATATTTGAAACAGACATGCCATTCCATTTGTTAATTAAAAACAAAAATCCTAACGGGAAAAGCCGAGCAGGTGTGGATCTGCATGCCAAGCTACGGTCTGTGTTAAGTGGTGTTGCTGATTCCAAGGAAGTGCTGCTTCCGCTTTTTTTAATTTTGTGAAATTTTTAGTGCTGTTTTGTTGGAAGACAGTGCAACGAACTGAGACTCATGGATAGTGTCATCACTCAGCTTATTGGGCTGAGGCGTCTGTGGAGAGGGGGCACTGGGGCTGCAGAGGGCAGCTGGGGTCCATCGTGTCGGGGGTCATTTCACCTGCTTGGCTGCCCGATGAGTTCTTGTGTTGACATATTGTGTGAGACCCCAGCACGGTTTTCACCTCCACGTGTGATGAAACTTCCTATGGACAGCCAATAAAATCACATCCTCTGTTATTTTGAAAAAAAAAAAAAAAAAAATTTTTTTTTTTTTTTTTTACAGGCTATGAAATTCTTTATTCTATTTGTAGCAGCTTATGCAGGTGCAGCCAAACACAAAGTTTTAGGACAAATTGTACAAATTTTACAATGTGGGATTTAAATTTAAAATATGAAACATAAAAGTCGACACATAACTGATAAAAAATCAAGCACAGATACCAGGATTGAAAGTTATAATCCATGTGTGAAAGGGAGTCTTGCTTCCTTTCAAGTGCTTTATTCTGCTATGGAACAGTCGAAATGTAAAGCCTTGTGGTTAGTTTAAATTATACACTCTGTAGATACTATACCAATTTTAAAAGTTACACATAGACCAACAGATGTCTCTCAGTTCGTCTGGATTGATAAGACACTCCAGCTGGATTGCTGAGAACAAATCAGGCAACTGTGAAAAGAAAATCCACCTATGCAATTTGCCGAGTTTACTGATGGGCACACTGCACTCCATGTCCATGATGGCTGCTGCTTTCTTCATCAGAGCTATCATTATAGGCTTCACGCCTCTTACTACCTCCTGAGCCTTGAGTGCTATCAAATTCCTGAAGCTCTACCTCCTCTGTGTCTCCAATTACGTTAAGAACTTCTGGTCTAGATGGCAGAAGATCTTCTAGTTCAGAAAGCTTGTCTGGGATGATCCAGTTGTTTTCAGGAAATTTTATGTAAAGATCACCTTTTTCAAAGGGATTACGATACTGAGGCATCCCTTCACCTCGAACTACCCGAACACATCCTGGTGCAATTACTTTGCCAGGAGGGTAGTTCACCACAATCTGAGGGCCATCAAGGTGCTTAAATGTGAACTGAAATCCACACAGAGCTTCACCAAGTCCTATTTTATATATCATATGCAAATCATTCCCATCTCTCTGAAATACCTCATGTTCTTTCTCCTGTAGCAACAGAGCAATGTCTCCTGGTTCCACTCCCTGCAGACCAGGGAAGCCTGGTCTGCTTCCCCAGTAAATGTAATCCTCTGTGTGAATGGTGCTCCATTGACGGTAGCATCGTGCTGCCCCTGGCCCGGGGCTCCCCGAAGGCGCTGGCCCTGGAGCACGCTCTGTTCCTCACAGGTGACAGCCTAGCCCACCTGCAGGCCACGACCCCCAGCAGCTGCTCCACCTCATCCCCCATGTGCAGGTGTTTGCCCATGTGGCCCCCAAGCAGAAGAAGTTCATCATCACCAGCCTGAAGGAGCTGGGCTACGTGACCCTCATGTGTGGAGATGGCACCAGTGACATGGGCACCCTGAAGCATGCTGATACAGGTGTGGCACTCCTGGTCAATGCCCCTGAGCGGGTTGTGGAGCGGCGACGGCGGCCCTGGGACAGCCCAACCCTGAGGAACAATGGCATCAGAGCCACCTCCAGGACAGCCAAGCAGCCAAGCAGCTGGCCTCCCAGAGGGACCACCTGAGCCAGGTGCTTCGAGACTTCGAGGATGAGAACACGCCCATTGTGAAGCTGGGGGACGCCAGCATTGCAGCACCCTTCACCTCCAAGTTCTCATCCATCCAGTGCATCTGCCACGTGATCAAGCAGGGTCGCTGCACGCTGGTGACCGCACTGCAGATGTTCAAGATCTGCTTTTATTGTAAGTAGTTGTAGCTGGGGAGGGGGAGGGGGCGGGCAGTGGACAGTAAGGCATACTGCAGTTGATTTGGGATTTGCTAAGTAGTTTTACAGAGCTAGATCTGTGTGCATGTGTGTGTGTATGTGTATATATACATATCTAGGACTAGTACTTAGTTTCACACCGGGAGCTGGGAGAAAAAAACCTGTACAGTTGTCTTTCTCTTATTTTTAATAAAATAGAAAAGTCGCGCACTTGTGTGTCCCCCCCCACTTTTTTAAAACAAGTGTTACTTGCGCCGGGAAAATTTTGCTGTCTTTGTAATTTTAAAACTTTAAAATAAATTGGAAAAGGGAGAAAAAAAAAACTTTTTTTTTTCTTTTTTGAGACGGAGTTTCACTATTGTTACCTAGGCTAGTGTGCAATGGCACGATCTTGGCTCACCGCAACCTCCGCCTCCTGGGTTGAAGCAATTCTCCTGCCTCAGCCTCCCGAGTAGCTGGGACTACAGGCACGCGCCACCATGCCCAGCTGATTTTTGCATTTTTAGTAGAGAAGGGGTTTCACCATGTTGACTAGGATGGTCTCGATCTCTTGACCTTGTGATCCACCCACCTCGGCCTCCCAAAGTGCTGGGATTATAGGCGTGAGCCACAGCGCCCGGCCTTTTTTTTTTTACAAAAACCTCTGAGTCCTTTATTAACGTGTGGTACATACAATTAACAGATGTGTGGTACGTACAATTAACAGCATCACACCAGCTACAGAAGTACAGATAATCAAGATTGTACTTCAGAACACGGATCTGAGAGCAACTTATGGTGTTGCCTCCTCTGAACCTCCACAGAAACCCAGTTCTGACACACGCAAGACAGACGATATAACAATTTCACACGGGAATGGTTCTTTTAAAAAATGACAAGAACTAATAGTTCAAACCCTTTAGAGTGTGAGATGTGGCAGCTTGCTTGGTGCTGTGGCACTGCTGTAAAAGGCCAACATGGGCATTTGAAGGACAGGCAGAAGAACCGAATGGGGTGGGTGGAAGAGGTTTCATTTTCAGTGTAGAGAGACAACAGATGGTCCGAGTGGAGGCTTTTAGTCCAGGCTCGGTATGGGGCCTGCAGGATTCCACTGTATAAATACGGTCTATAAACCGGACAGCTCAAAAACACCAGCTAGCCATCCTTGTCATTGCTTCCAACTGGTGGACACTGATGCATCCGAAGTCACTTAGGACATAGAGCAATAGTAATTTACTTTAATTGTAAGTTTCCCATGATGCCTAATGAAGGTGCTCACTTCTTCATATTTTTATTGGCCATTTAGATATATATCTTCTTTTGTTACTAGTCTATTCACTTCATTTCATTTTCTTCTAATGGGCTGCCTGCCTTTTTCTTATTAATTAACATGCATTCTGTATAATCAGATGAGTGTTTTATCTATGACATGCATTATAAATACTAGCTCTAAAACTATGGCTTACCTTTTCACTTTATTTAAAAAAAAATTTTTTTAGAGACAGGGTCTTGCTCTGGTGCCCAGGCTGGAGTGCAGTGGTGCCATCATGGCTCACAGTAACCTCAAACTTTCGGGTTCCAGTTATTCTCTTGTCTACACCTCTTTTGTCTACACCTCTTGTGTAGATTGGACTACAGGCACGTACTACCAGGTTCGACCCATTCTTTTATTTTTTGTAGAGATAGGTCTTGCCTAGACTGGTCAGGATCTCTCGGCTTCAAGTGATCCTCTTGCCTTGGCTTCCTAAAGCACTAGGATTACAGGCATGAGCCACCACACCAGGCCTATACTTTGTTAATATTTTTAAAACTCAGTAATTTGT